GTCTGCTCGGTCTGCGCTGCGCTGGTGGTCTTTTCGCGACGGTTTTGGGTTTCTTTGTTGGGCGATTGGGCCGTTGTCTTGGACTGGGCTGCCCTTTTCCCTTCCTGCCGCCCTCTTTTTCTGGACATTTGAACAGGGTATTTCCAGGAATTTCCGTCGCAGCGACGGTGCGACCCCAGCCACATGACTAGACAAAGCTTTGGTAAATGCACTCTCAAGGACCTTAAGGACGTCGGGATGCTGCATTGCGGTAGCGAAGGTTAGGACCGGCAGGACTCGGTCTTGAGTCCCCGTCTAATGGCTGTTTGAGGTCTCTTCGCCATTGCAACGATGAAATTGAGCCCCAGATTGTTGAGTGGATTCGTCATGATCGTAAGAAGTCATTTTTAGCGAGTTCTTTTTTAGTAAAAGAGAGAAAGAATGAGATGAGAACGGTTGTTGTTCCACAAAGCCGACCAAATAAATTATGGTGCCTTCCTTCTAGCGGCAAACTGTTGATGGACGGATCTGATCAATGGTTAAAATAAAGATTAATAAAGGTTAAATAGAGAGAATGAGAAAGGTATACAGAAAAGTTAGATTTTATTATGTAATCACGAGGTCAACCTCTAATAATGAGGTCGGCACTTTGCTTACAGTTCGAGTATTTGCGGGAATTAAATACAGAAATTTGGAGAGAGAAAGTAGTAGTTGAGATATTCAACAACTCAGAATAAATGAAATGTAATAGTAGCCTTAAATTCGACACTGTTCACCTTATTTTGTCGTACAGTAGCTTTGACGAGCAGACCGGCGCTTCTCTGACATATATTGAATGCAATTTGAGTTTTTTTCAATCATGACCTGCCAGACATTTAATGTACACATGGAGGCATTAAATGCTGACAGGCCTTTCTGTTATGCTAGATACCTTAGAAGGGTAGACTAGGGTGGCCTGTCCCATCGACAATCATTAATCTCCAAGTGGCAGTATTATAATACTTTTCGGGTTCGGCTTTCGTGTAGTGGCCGATCTCAGAGAATCTTCAGGTCGGACTTTTGGCGTTTGTTGACCTGCCGACTCTCGGGAACCTTCGAATCTGCTCGGCATCCTAATAGCTCGGCACGTTATATAAACTTGCTGCCCGGTTCGACCGCGAGACCGTTTTCCTCCGATTTCTCATTGTCGTACCATAAACCCTGGGTCAGGCCATTCCAGATATCAACAGCGTGTATTTAGTATGTTTAGCTTCCGCATATTTAGACCGAGTATGTTATCATGAGGCTCCAAACTTATGCATGTGCAATACCTCTATCTCCATAGTACCTTTATATAATGGATTGATTAGGTTGCATGTATTTATTATGTCTTCATGATTACGAGATAAGAAAAGCAGTAGAGTTTAGTAACATCCCGCGAGTCAGTATGAGCATTTTCGAAAATAAAAGTCGAGTTTTTCAAAATAAAAAGTAAAAATTTAATTCTATTTTTTATAATTCTAGTATTAGAAGGCGGGGTGTTACAAGAGCTCTTTCATCTCCTTTTAATATTGACTTGGGTGTCGGAGGCTCTAAGCCGAAAACACTTCCGGCGTTGAGTTCTTGCAGGTGTTTGTGGCGGTCTAGAGGCGATTTGAAGACAGTTCAAACAGATCGAAGCTCATCTCATCCGGTTCACTCCAAATCTAGGAGGAGACCCATCATACCTCATAAAATAAATTGCAATTTAACTAAGATTTCTAAAATTTCACACTAGACCTTTAGTGTTATCAATTTTACAAATTGTTGCCCGAACCCTAATTTTTAAAAAATTGGTTGTCATGTTTATTTGCAATGTCTGAAATTTCGGTTGATTTTTCTGAATCTCAGGTCTCGTCAGACGGCTCGATACCAGAGGATCGGAAAGAATCAGGTGGCAAAGGTCGAGGCGGCGTCGGTGGAGGTCGAGGCGGCCACGATAGAGTTTGAGGAATTGAAGCTGGTCGAGCCGCGGTGTCTGAGCGGGAGGACCTCGACAGCGACATGACATCGCGATGAAGCCGCGTCCATCACGAAGGAGGTGTGGCAGGCGGCGGGGCTGCGGCACGTCTCGGATGACGGCAAGCGGCAGCTAAGAAAGACAACGATGATGTGGCGGCATTGTGAGCGACAGTCGGAGGCAGGACCTGTTCCAGCTCTGTGTGCGGTGTTTATGAGTGAGATGTTTGTTAGGTGTGTGAGTGAGAGAGAGAGAGAGAGAGAGAGAGAGAGAGAGAGAGTATGTTTTATACTACCTCCTATTCTTTTTAAATGTCATTTTGGTTTTATCAACTATTAACTAAATAAATGTCGTTTTAGATCTTTTGTACATGTTTTTCCCATTATTACCCTCATTGAGTCAATAAATACACTACGTATTTTCATTTTTCACTCTTCATTTTTTCTTAAAACATTCATCTCTATCTTCATTAAATATGGTTATTATTGACAACAAAATTATTCTTAATTATTGTGCAACTTCTCAAAACGACATTTATTTTGAATAGGAGGGAGTATGTGTTTGCGCGTGTGTGGTGTGGTAGGTGTGTGAGAGATAGAGATAAATAAGATTGCGGTGAGGTAGGTTTGTTGGTGGCGGTCCCACTCGAATGAGTTGATGGATATATTGGTATAATTTATAAATTATCCTCACCAACAAAATGATAATAATAATAACAAAATCTAATAAAAATAAAAATAAAAATAAAAATACACAACAAACACAAGCACAGTCGCCTATTACAAAATCTTTTGGTATACTGCAGTCAGATATATAGCAAGACAAATCCCAGCTACATTCCAGTTACCACACACACATGGTGATCAAATTCCCGTCATTATCAACATTGTTACCACACTTGCTATACACATACAATAAAGCCCAATTTGAATCGTTGCTCCTATTGTCCTATTACTCCTACAACAAAGTAAAAACTACAACAAACAACGCAAAGTATATTTATTTTACTCAACATTTCCTTTTACAACATTATAAAACTCTCCACCAAATTAATAGGTTCTCAATAAGGCCTCTCCCCAATATAATTCCCCGGTGGGTCATAGTTGCATGTCATAAAAACTCCCTTGTCATCGTCGCAAACCACTTTGGCGCACCCAATCCTCTTCGTCTCCCTCCACACTATTTGAGTGTAGTGCCCGCATTCCCGGCCATCCGCGCACGAGTTTGCCCAATAGTTGTACTCTTGCCGCTCCGCCACCCAAGCCGCCGCCGCCTGGGCCGGGCCCCACCCGCGCCCGCTGCCCCAGAATATGTTTTCTCCGTAGGGCCCGCCCGAGTGCTCCAATGCGCAGTCCCTGCGCCTCCGGTTCGCGTAAGACTTCGCGTACCGCGTCAGCTTGCGGTCCCACACGAGGGGACGCAGGCCCAGCGCTGCGCGGGCTGCGTTTTGGAGGCCCATGAATTGGCGGGCCCCGTTCTTGGGCCTGCCCGCGTGGACCGTGAGGGATACGAGGAGGAGGAAGAAGATGAGAGTGAGAGTGCCATGGAAAGGCCTCATAACTATTTCTTTCTTTCTTCTTGTTTTTCTTTCTTTTGAAGCATTTAAGATATGCATTAATTTGTGTGTCGGGGATATTTATAAGGGTCGTTAGAGGTAGTTGAAATTGAACGAGTTAAAAAATAAAATGTCTGTGATAAATAAATATGTAATGATAAATTAAATAGAGTGAATAATAATAATAATAATAATAAATAGAGTGAGCAGTGGGTGTGTGGGTTGGCATCCATGTTAGATAATGATCATTCACATCTCCATTGAGAGTACAATAGTTATGGCTAACTTTTTTTTTTCTTTTTTTTTTTCAGAATATTTGTAATTGTCATAATTGATAATTGGACTTTGCGTTTTATCTAAGTGTGTGTGTGTGTTATTTATTTATTTATTTATTCTTTTATTTATTTGATTATGACATGTAAGTATTTACTGAATTTAGTAAAGTTATAGAAGTGATGGAAAAATGAAATAATAGGTCGGAACATTAATTTTATTCTCGAAAACTCAATTTCCTACTATTTATATTTTAACTAACATATCCACAAAATTTGTTACTCCCTCTTTTTCAAAATAAGACTTTTTTGATTTATCCATTTTGCTATGTATCTAGACGTAAATACGTTTAGATACATAGTAAAATGGATGAATCAAAAAAATCAAAACGACACTTATTTTAAAAAAGAGGTAGTATTATTTTATTTGGGGAGTAAAGTAATTTTTTAATTTTATTATGCTTATTATTTATAACAACTAGTATGTATCCCGTGCGATGCACGGTTATATAAATTTAGAGAATATTATAATTTGATATGCATTAGGATATATGAGAGTTTAATACATACGAACATTATTCATCATAAAATGTTTATCACTAAAAAATCTTATATTATTAAAAATCTTTTTGTATATAACATATGAGTTTGATTATTGGGTAACTCGTTGTGAGCACAAGCTGCCTCGGGCCGGACGCGGGCTGCACAAAGAGCTGCGGAAATTGGGCTTCACTCAACTGGGCTCCCTTGTTGGGCTTCTCTCCTGGGCTGCAGATGTTGATTGTTGTCGCAAAAAGAATGCCCCCACGCTTGGACAACTTTTCTAATTTCTAACTATATTATAAATTACATTTTATTCCAAGTTTAACTTTTTCATTCTTATTTTATGAAGATACAGAGAATATTTATCATCAAATATATCATGTTAGTCATCATTGGACATAAGCTCATAGGATTTGATGATAAATATGCATTTAGATTTTAACATGTGCAATATAAATGTAAAAAATACAGAGAATATAATAACGCTAAATTTAGTTTATTGGACAGGTGCACAACAATTAGAAAAATGTGATTTTCTAAATTAAATTTTCAGGATAAATGCATTGCCAAATCATAAATTTCCGCAAGCAAGGAGCTTGCTTTAATATATTATTCGAGATTTCAGCGTCGATGGCCGTTTTTTTAAGGCAATGCAAGAAGAATTTGGGTAAAGCCGAATGGAAAACGTTTTTGCAAATCTGTAGATGAGAATGAATTTAGAAGAGCCGTATTTATAAGAATATGTACATTATTAAAATCTGAAAACAATAAAGAGTCCAAAAGTTGGAAACCGTGTAATTAATATTTAATTAAACATATAAATTATCGATCTACATATCATAACTGATATGTTTAATTTTTATAATTCCATATAAGTTGGTTGTTTCCAACCACTACATCTTATAATAACTGATATGTAGAGATTTTCACAATAAAAGAAAACACGCCAAAACTGAAAAAAAAAATCCCAACACTTGGAAACAATATAATTTTAAATTTAATTAAACATAAAAAACGGTTATAAAAATCATAGTTGATTACAAAGTATGTTTAATTTTAGAATTCCATATAAATTGGATTTGTTTACAACAAATAGAGGTTATGTCAAATTATAACTCTAATTTTGTTTAGATATCTAGAATATAAAACTCTTTAAAAGAGTCCCAACATATGGAAACAATATAATTTTTAATTTTTTTAAACATAAAAATAGAGCGAATTAAGAAAAAAAATATAATTTTATATTTCCCTTAAAATTGGGATTCTTTACAGGAAAACAAAATCGTGTTACTGGCAAAATGATTAATGAAATTGAGCCGCATTTTCTGGGAATGTTTATACCAAATTAATTGCTAAAAATCTCCCGCATTTTGTGGGCATTTAATAGCTGAACGTGAAAAAAAAAAGAAAAGAAGTTGCCATTAATAGTAAACAATTAATGAAGAAAGAGGTTTGACAAAAATTGACCTGCCATTTTTAAAAAATGGTAAATCTTTTTATATATATATAGATTTTAAAAAAATTCATGGTGAATTTTCCAAAAAAAAAAAATTAAGTAAAACTAAATATTTAAAAATCTTGGACTATAGATAATGGCAATAATATGAAAATAAATAAATAATTCTAACTAATATGACACTAAATTACAATCAAACATCAAGTATCTGTTTATCAGATTAATCACTTTCACGCGTCATCAAACCAAAACTCTCTCTCTCTCTCCAACTGACGACCGAAAAAATTTGGCACGGAACTGCGATTGCTTTCTCTCGCCCAAAAGTTTCTGCGAAAAGTGGCGACCATCTTTTTCACGCGTTATGCTCCAAAAAAATTTCCAGGAAATAACGACAGCATGATTTTCCCTTGAAGCACCATGGTAGACCACGCTTTAGTCCTCCCGCCGGTGTCTGACCAGCATGACGCTACGGCTACGCCATGGCCCCATGTACAGTTTTGCCGCCAACTTGTACGTCGTTCAACCATGTTCGACCAAGTCTGAAAAGCTCCGTCTTGTTTTCCATTCAGCTCACTAAGGCATCCTTCGAGAAAAAACCGGCCATCACGTTCCATGGTGTCCAGCCGCTGCCCTCAGCCAGAAAATACCAGAAAGCGCAGTTGCACTCCGACCAGCTGCTCTTGTCGTTGACGGCACCCGCTCGCAGTTGTATTTTCGTAGTTGTATTTTATTTTTTGTGAAAATAGTTGCCAATCAGAACAATTAAATAAGCACAATAAAAACATAGTTGTCAGACATCATTCTTAAGCGAATGGATATCGACATGGGGGCGATTTTTATTGAGCATGTCACGAAATGATTTTTTTGGAGCCTCCATGGATTTGCGATTCTCCTCCGCTGCGCGAGTCATCGTGTGTGCTTGCTTTTCAACCCGACCGACATTTTTTGGAAGACGGGGTGGAGAGCGCCTCTTGCAGTGAAAGCAAAACGGGGTTGAAGGGATCTGGGGGTTTGTCATAGAGAGTACGCGGCAGATTCTCCATCTCGCCGGACAGACGATAATAGTGTACTAATTTCGGTAGAAGACCGGCAGAAGACGGCTGGGCGAAGGCAGGGTAGGGTTCATCCTTTTTTTTTTTTATCCAAAACAAAAAGTTGGATGGTACACGATTTTATGTTACAAAAAAGTTTTTTGATTTGCTGAAAATGAAAAAGTAAGTTTGATCTTGTGCAACTAAACAATTAACAACCTCTCCACTTATTAAGGCTAACATTTATCTCTTTTTCATTAATTTTTTTTTTAAAAAAAAGTTGCTATTAATAGCATGTAATAAATGTTGACCGAATTTGACTTGCCATTTTTGAAAAATGGAAATTCTTTTTATATATATATAGATTATCGCCTCAAATTTTGCAAGGCGTTTGTGAGGAATGAAATCAAGGAAATAACACATTTGACTACAGATATTAATGACAATTTTAATTATCATTTTATATTATTAACTAGGTTATGTAATAATATTTTATATATTATTCTATTATTGTGGATCGTATAATTAGTTGTACCTAATTGAATTAATAGTCAAACTTTATTAAAGGTGAATATATATGTAATGAATTGGATTATTTAATGTTCTAATATTAAAGAATCCAATTTGTGATGTTTGACTTGGACAGTAAGTTAGGTTAGAACATGGGAAATTGTAGTATGATTAGGATTCTAAGTCTCCTCCTATATATACTACATGTCCCTCTCTCCCATCTCATACGAAATAAACTTCTCAACATCAAGGGCCTTATGAAAAGACGAGAAACGCGGGAGAGAGAATTAATTCATAGGCAAAGACGTATCTATTATTGGAGATTACGAGACGAATCCATCATTGAAGTTTACGAGAAAGATGATGGTAGATCAACATCATAAATGAACAGAGAAGGACTTTAAGTTGGATTTTTGTAAGTTGTATGTGCAATTTAATTTATGCAAAGATTCATGTTCTATGAATTGATAGAATTATGTGTTTAGGATTTATTCAATTCCGCCTAATAGTTATAGATATACCCGTTAAATTTCTTACATGTGGTATCAGAGCATGTGTTTATGCATGATTATTTTGCCAATTAAAAGTTTTATGGCCTACCTCTGTGAATTGCAATTGCCGATTATAGATTGTGATATATGTGATGCGATTATATTTTCTGCGAATAAGTTTCTTCGCTGCCGTTTCGTGAAAATTGAGTTGCGTGTGATCAACATGTATTATAAGTTAATGGTCTCCCTTCCCATTGTTCAGTTTATACATATTCTAAGTTAATGGATGTATTATGGCCTCAGTTTTGTGAACGTGTGTTAAATTGCCGCAAGTGGCCACTAATTGAATTATTAAAAATTATTTGATAATTTGGGTTGAATGATCACCCAATTACTGCTTTGATTATTTATAAAGTACATTGGGAATTATTTGCCAAAGATGATTCATTGCCGTTAAAGAATTACAGCATATGCGTTTATAAATTGTTATAAATTATTTGCAGTCTGTTATAGCGTATGAATTATAATTTGGCCTTGAACTGATCTATGAATCCCTCAAAAAATGCTACGCATTAATTATATTATCTATGTAAAGAAACTAGTTAGTCACCAAAGTGGCCTAGTTTAATTTATGTTATAGATAATTAAAATTAAATAGTATCAATTATTCAAATATAAATGGATGCCTTATTAATGTCTT